TGTGTTAGGTAGTCTCAGCATCATTAGGAACCATGGGTCTGGTGTTTTGGGGTACGATCTAGCAGATGTGCTCAGACTAGCTTCACATGCAGCCTTTCTCAATTGAGAAAAAGGGCAAGGTGCCTGCTGAGTTCTTAAAACTTGGTTGTAAAATTAGTCTAGCAAGGTTAACAGCAGGAGGGAGAGTATACTCTGATTTCCATCCTAGCCTAGGTCAGTCTGCTGATCGTGAGGAGATCATTACACCAAGACAGTATATTCCACTGGTGTTACCACAAGCAGCTTTTACTTCCCAGGATGGGCTCACTAAGGGTAGCTTTTGGTCCGACCGTCAATTATTGTCAGTCCATTATGACCATTCTGTACTAGAGGGATGGCAGGGTCACTTGGGCCACAGAGAAACTCCTGGATGGAAAAAAAATCCTAATCAACCTTTCTAGTTGAAAAGCGTGATGCATAGTGTTAGAAGCAGAATTTCCCTGAAACTGTAACACGCATGTGATGCAATAAAGAATCAGGCCTTAATGTTTTATGACAAATTCATACTTAGTCAAAACAGGTTTCACTTAAGCTTACCATAACACAAGTAGATGGATAAAATCTGTTATACCATCATCTCGGTAGACATCTCTCTGCTCATTTTGTATCAGTTTCCTTGACTAATTTTGCATATGTAGGCTGAATGGTCCCTTAGATTTATACAGACCTACACTGACCACTATAGGCAGTTACCACTGCAGGCCATTTACTACTGATTCAGTTATTAAAAAGGACTCTTCAAGTTCAACCTTGAATCTGAAAGCCCACTGCGCTTCCTGTGTTAACAGACCTCATTCAAGTTATTAAAAAGAGTAAGGAGCATTCCCGCCCAATTTTTTTTCATTCTTTTGGCCAAATACCAGATCTTTTTCCCCTTTCCCAAGTAACAAGAACTCAAGAGGCAGTATCAAAATCATGCTAGTAAGAGAAACATACCGTGCAGTGCCTGTGTAGGGAGGCTTTGAAGTTCGCACATGGTTAAGTGGGATTAAGTCTGCATCAGCATTGTCAATGTCTTCAAAATTTACTGCACCAACACAGCCACTGTTTGGATAGAAAGGAAATCAAAGATACGTACATTATTCATAAGACAGCTGGTGGAGGCAGCTGAACCATATTCTGCATGCTCCAAAATTCTAGTTGTTTATTAAAACGGTCCACAAGAAAAAAACATGGAGATGAACTGCCCTGTGTGCTTGGCATGTCCCAAGATGAAAACAATCATCTGCTGAACTTGCAGCAAGTAACAAATGACAGCTCTAGTACATATGTGCAGAGAGGACACTTGGGAAGAATGGAAGTAAGACAGAAATGTGTCATCTCTTGCCCTTTTGGCTATGCCCATAATCAGACCAGGATATTCTTCCAAAGAGGACATAATGGATCCTGATTTCTAGTTTACAGGTTTACTCCGCAAGCATAGGCTCAGCACATGCTCTCCCTTGGCACCAGAAAACACCTTGAGATTAGATAACATAGGCTATCTACAAGTCTTGCTTCAGAAAATGAGAGATGGATTGTTTGGGCTTAATCAAAAACGTAGAAAGCAGAAACAACCCAAGGACATCATTGTACTTACGTATACAAAGGGATATGACAGGTTCGAGAGCTTCGGCTTACACTGTTAAAGACAAAAGAGATCAATCACCTTTTTTTCGCCAGACAGAATATTCTGATAGAATATTTATGAGGTCTCAAAAGAGAGGTGGTGACAAGTCAAAGTTTTGCTCTTGGAATGATGCAATGCTCATTTGAATTTGGTAAAAGACCGTGCTAAATGATTAGATTGGCATATATGCTAAATGACCCAGTTCAGTAGGCAGAAGCTTGTCTTTTAAATCTTCATCCTCAGATACTGGGGCTTCAGTTCATTTCCTAGGATACTATAAGTAAGTTTTCTTTAAACTCTACTTGTAACACTTTTCTCATTCAATTCTTGAGAACACAGGAAAATTTAACACCAGGTCTGAATTTCTCTTTTGGTCTGTCCTTGCAAGCTGCTCTCACTGGCCGTGTCTATATTCCTTTGAAAGAGCAACATTCAAGAAACCATAACGATAGTTTTTTCTGTCTCCCTGCCACCCTGCAGAGGTACCCGTCTCTCCCATTGTATGCCTGACTGTGTCCAATAGCACACCCGTCCATTGAGTTTGCCTGAGAAAACCTGCTGGCTCATGGCCTGGAAAGGAGGCAAGTTCTAGCTTTTCTGTCTTGCTTTGACCAGCCTTCCCTTCCCTGTCTCTACTTGGCTCTTATCTGAGGCCTTCTGAACCTCCTGTCGCCCTTTACTGGGCTCATCTAAAATGCTCCACTCTGCGATTGTTTTGGATTCTACAGACAGCAAATAAAACCTTGAGTTTGTACATGTGTATGATTACCGTGGTGTTTTCAGAAATCTCCTGTCTCAATGAAAACATCAGATGCATGCAGTCATGACAATCATTCACTTTACAGATTTCTTCTGTTCTGCTTTTTATATTTAACTCTCTCACATGAGAAGCATGTTAGAGTATACTTTCCATATAGTTATTGATTGAATATCTTAACTTCTCTAGTTACAGAATGCTGCTGAATTTAGCCTTCCAAAATAATTAACTGTACACGGACTTCATAAAGGAAGTGTTCAGAGGACCCCGATATTCACAAAAAAAATGAAACTTGCAAATCAACAGGTCTCTGTGGAGAGGTAAAAGATTTTGTTTGAAATCTGTCCCAGAAGCCTCCAACAACCTAAAATCATAATTAGATGCTTCTTGTAAGGCAACATTATCTAATTAATTTGGCTTAATAGCTTTTCATGCAGCAACCAGAACCAGTTGCAGGTAAAAATAATAATTATTACAGTCAATAATCACAAGTAAACTAACTTAATGTAGGATTTGTTATGCTACAGCATCATTCCTGTCAACCAATTTTTCATTAATATCCTTACCCTCTCTTTTGGTACTATGCATGCATATCTTCTTCTGTACCCATGAAGGGGAAGGGAGAGAGAGGAGGGAGGGGGAGGGAAAAAATATGTAATCATTTGAGGCAAATACTGGAGTGTGCCGATGACCTTAAATGCTCACTTGGGACTGTTTTTATTTGAAAACATTGCTGTGGGTTTATGTGTATGACCTACATAAAATTTAGGCTACATTTCATTAGCAAAACCTAAAACCAGTTGGCAAGAAATTGTTCACTGGCTTGGCTTATTTCAGGTTCAGGATACTATCTCCTTTTTGTGAAACACGATCAGCCAACACTTTTACTGTTGATTCTGGAGGCTGGATTTTGGAAGGTAATATATTATCCCAAGGAGCCTCTTCATAAGCTCTAGATCAACAATAAAAAAAGAAGAGAAAAAGTTCCTGTATAATCATTAGTGAATTACATCGGTAGCTAGACAATAAGGAACTATGTGAACAGAGAAGGATGTAGAAAATAACAAAGGTGTATATTTCCAGTTTAAAGGGAAATGAAAAGCCTGGAATTATATGTTGCTTGTTGGGGAACAAGTAGTTATGGTACAGTTTCACAGGCTTATCTTCTTTAAAACTTTTTCACTCACTAATTGAAAGAGGTAGTTTATCTTCCAATAAGCTCCCAGTGATGATGGGTTTTATTTTGTCTAAATTTGAATAATCAGTTAAGTGAGACGAGACATAAATAGAGATTAGACACCAGTCATATCATGCCTGTGACAGGCGTTGAAGACAGATGTACAGAATGCCCTTTTGGAAACTCCAGTTTCTCTTCACTGCCTATAGAGGAAGTGGAGATGAAAGGCACAGACTGGATGCAAGCTTTTAGATAACTGAAGTTCGTGAAATGAATCCTATGGTAAATGCTGTTAAAACACCAGAAGTTCTGAGTGACAGAAAAATTGTCTGTAGTCTTATATGTTCTGCTACCTAAAGGTGCAGAGTAGCAAAAAGAAGATGAAAAAATGAAGCAAAGCACAAGCAAAAACTGTTTTCAAAAGAAATGGTGTCTCACTTTTGAGTATTTTTCTTGTAGAAATCGTCCCTTGCTTTTTCTTCTTTCCACCTTGCAGAAGGATCACTTGATTCCTAAGAGAAATCAAATACATGGCAGAAAGCTATGCTATCAACATATATGATACTATGACTGCTTGTTTAGAGAGTGAACTGTATGTATTTGCATTTTCCTACTTTACTATCTTCTTTTGCATCGGAATGTGAAACATGCAATTTCACATACTTCACCAGCCAGCACTGGAGATCAAGAATGGATCTATTTCTGAGGAGTTTTACTCACGAAGCAAAATTTAATACAGTGAATACAAGTTTAAAAACTAATAGAATGTCCTTGCCTCTCTACTCCTCAGGAAGGTAGCTTTCCATTTGTTGTATTATTTATAAAATGGCATAGCAAACGCACTTTGCAGTCCCTCACACATGCCTGATGTATTTGTATGATGTTCATTGCTACAAACTGTGTTCCTCAGGGTTCAATTCTAGGGCCAGGTCTGTTCAATATATTTCTCAACTGTCTGGATGCAGGAGTTGAATGCACCATTAACAAGTTTGCTGATGATACCAAACTGGGAGGTGCTGTTGACTCTCTTGAGGGACAGGAGGCCTTGCAGAGGGATCTGGATAGATTGGAGCATTGGGCTATGATTAATGGGATGAAATTTAACAAGTCCAAATGCCAGATTCTGCACCTAGGATGGAGTAATGCCAGGCACAAGTATAAACAGGGAGAGGAGTGGCCGGAGAGCAGCCCTGCAGAAAGGGATCTGGGGATGCCGGTTGACAGCAGGCTCAATATGAGCCAGCAGTGTGCCCTGGCAGCCAAGAGGGCAAACCGCATCCTGGGGTGCATCAAACATGGCATAACCAGCTGGTCAGGAGAGGTAATTATCCCGCTGTGTTCTGCGTTGGTGCGGCCCCACCTTGAGTACTGTGTGCAGTTCTGGGCCGTACAATATAAGAAGGGGGTCCTTGAATGCATCCAGAGGAGGACAACAAAGCTGGTGACAGGGCTGGAAGGCATGGCCTATGAGGAGCAGCTAAGGACCTTGGGCTTGTCTAGTTTGGAGAAAAGGAGGCTGAAGGGAGACCTCCTTTCTCCCTACAGCTTCCTGAGGGGGGGAGGTGGAGAGGGAGGTGCCGATCTCTTCTCCCTGGTATCCAGTGACAGGATGTGTGGGAACGGTTCAAAGCTGCGCCAGGGGAGGCTCAGACTGGACATTAGGAAGCATTTCTTTACCGAGAGGGTGGTCAAACACTGGAACAGGCTTTCTAGAGAGGTGGTCGATGCCCCAAGGCTGTCAGTGTTTAAGAGGCATTTGGACAATGCCTTTAACAACATGCTTTAACTTGGTCAGCCCTGAACTGGTCAGGCAGTTAGACTATGTGATCGCTGCAGGTCCCTTCTAACTGAAATAGTCTCTATTCTATTCTATTCTAACTATTTAAGCATGTGCAACACTTAAAGGACTATGAATAGTCTCATCAGTGTAGAAGGATGAAGGATGCCATTACGTTTTCAGTATGGCAAAGACTTAATTAGACTTGCGCTATGGAAACATTGATGCATTTCAATTTACTTATTTGTTTGTGCCTTGTACCAAATAAGGCAGTGCCTAAGTATTAAACATATGAGTATTTATACCAAGTATGAAGTATCTTTTGTACATTCTGTCATTTTTGCTCTAACTCTGTCTCCAGTTACACATAACTGACATTGGTGGTATCAGTCTCACATTACAGTCTAAATACCTTAACCAGAGTAACAGTACAAAAACTGAAAATCATTGGAGTGATGGCCGCCATTAAAATCTGGTCATGCTAACATACAGCTACCTGAAATATATTACTTATTTCAATATAATTAGATGAAGAAATGAAAAAGTCTGATTTCACTACACTACTGTCATCACTGCCAAAAGCATGTTAAATGGAAAGCAGACTAGAAACAAAATGATTTAAATATGTTTTCTGTCATTACAAGAAGAGCACCAGACACTTGCCTTGAGATTGGGATCCATACAAAATGCAAAAATATGGTTTTGGTCAGGTAGAGCAGAAGCAACTTTCACTGGAGTTCTCCAACCTGAAAGAAAGGGCTTCCTATTATGTTAATCAATTTGCAGCAATCCTTATTGTTTTAAACTGGATGAGAATAACTCATGGCTTCCCATAAAAATCGATGCACCAATGTTCAGTTACCTGTTACCACTCTGAATTACAAAGAGTTCCACAAAAATATATTAAATTACATGGAAGATGAAATTAAGTGATAAATAATATCACAAAATGCATTGCTACAGTTTGGCTTACTTCACATATTGTCATGTACAGTACTAACTCTATAAAGGAAAGTACACAAAATAGCAAACATAATAATAAAAGCTTGTTAATGCAACCTGAACTAGTAATTGCATTTCTACAGTTGCCATCTTTGCCAACCCGGCAAGCAATAAACAAGCTATTCCATAAGCAGTAGGTGACTGATTTCCTAAAGATATTTCTCTCTCTCCTTCACCCTCCCAACTTCACATTCCAAAAATCTGAGCTCTCCCTGACCAGGTTCTGTAAATCAGGCTTACCCACCAAGAGGCCACTTCCTGCAGTTACTGCAGAGCCACATATGTACTGATTGGTGAGCCAGTACACACATGTTGGTAATCAAGTGAGCTGCTGTCAAATAGAAAGATGTTATAATGGCCAAGTTGCAGCTCCTTCAGGAGGAATGCTTGTTTTTGGCTTTCCTCTCCCCAGACTTCAACCTTCAAAAATCTTGCTGGGGTGCAATTATCCTTGAGATGTTTGTATCTCTGTCAAATTTGGCAGAAATTGGCCAATGGGGTTAAAAGTTTTTAGGGGGGAACCAATAGATAAATGAAAAAGGTGAACAGAAGCAACTTGTCTCCTTCGGGAATCAGGATAAAACCCACAAAATAATCCCATAAATAAGGTAAGGGATATGTATGAGAGTATCATTCAAACTGCTGTACCATTAACTAGCATAATGCTTTTGGTGACTTTGGGAAAGGTGTATTTCTAAATATACTTTGTTATACTACACTAAAAGGGATAGACAGCCGCACAGCCATCACACCACTCTCTCTATGAACACTGGAAACTATTATTTAGTATCAAGGACGTAATACTTAGGTAGTTTTCAACCTGCTTTTTACTTCCAGACCTCTTAAAAATTTCCAATGCATATGAAGACCTTTATGTAGCAAATTTAAGCTAATTCATAACAGTTACTTTTCCTAGTTATCTGTAGAAATTTTAGGTATACTCTGGAGAAAATAGTTCAAAGACTAAAAGTTGAAAACCACTGTGCAGAATGCAAAATTAATTCTTGCAGAACTAATCGCTCTGACAAACTTTGAAAGAAAATCACAGCTTTCAGTAAAAGAGACTAAGTTTATTATCCTAGTTCTATATGTAAGTACTGAAATAATATGACCTGGATTTTAAAGGAGCTTTTTGCACAGTGTGCTGTAACTTTAAGTTGCTGCTTTTGAAAAGCTTGACAGAATCTGTGGATCTTTGCACTGTGAAGAACTTTCAGACTGAATCACTCTCCAATTAAAACAATTCTTTTGGAAAGTGTCTCCTAGTAACATGCTCGCAGTAAAGATGGTGGCTACATCTTCATTGCCTCAGCTTAGTATAAACTTTAAATGCTATCTGCAAATATACAACTTGTAGTCATATGGGAATGCTTCCATTAAGTTTTATGTCTGAAATGTTGTAATTACTTAATACGTATGCATGTACTAGTGCCCTCTACAGTAAAGAGGCAGATGGCTCAAAGATATCCATCCATATGTTCTAGTAGTTCCATAAAATAGTCTTCCTTCATTGATTAAAGAGCTAAAGGTTACAACTGTTATTCCTTGTGTTGTATGTGTAAAACACTCATTTCAGCTACAATGTCCTTAGGAGGACATGCATATAATTTTACATTTGCATTGATAATTGTACATATGCATTTCTAAAGACCTCTGCTTTTGCACTGTATACTGTAATTTGCCATCTTGACATCACTGGCCTACTGCTGGGATGATTAATCTTCTAACATTTACTTCTCCTTTTGCTTTCAGTGGAAAGATCTAGCGTAAAAATGGCAATAATTTTTTTTTCTTTAAGTCAACTTTCTGGAGATTTCAAGCCCTTAATGATTTCCTCAGTCACAGGACTGAAAATTGCATGATCTGCTCTTGTCCAAGTTGAGAACTCAGTGTCTTGGCTTTGTCACTTTTAACTAATGACAAGCTCAATGATATTGTCAGTTTCAGTTTATCACTTAAACTAATCTCCTAATCTGACAAAGCAGGATTCAATGACAGATAACAAATTTGGGGAATTTCTGGTTTGGATTCTGAGTCAGAAACCGAACATGTACTCATTCACATTTCTAAGCTGTTTCCCAGAAACCATGAAAGCCAGACAATCTTTTTGTTTTGTTTTTAAAGGAAAAAGTGAGATTCTTATGTCACCTCGTAAAGACATATGCAGGGAGGTTTCACAAAACCAGGAGTCTCACAAGCTTCACTGCACCTCACTGTCGTTCGAAAACTGTGCACTGTTTTTGACCTCTTATATTTTAAAATTAGTAGGAGCAGGTCTTGATGACAATCAGTTTCAGATTTTTGTCTGTGTTCATTTCAGGTGTGTCTCTATCTGTCAGAGTATCTCTGTCTCTGCTTTTCTCTGCGTTGGAAAAATTAATAGTCAGATAGAATTGCATATCTCAAATCTTCTTTCCCCTTCACTTTTCCCGAGGCTTTCAGAAAAAAAAAACCAACAAAACAGCTGATCAGTTCTGATTGGTGTCTGACGTCTAATTTCATACGTAAATGGAGAACACAGTAACTGAGAAATAAGAGAGAAAATTACATGGGATGAGGAAGAAAAAAAAAGGAAAATTATGGAGTCTATTTTTTTATCCCTTGTGGTTTCTTGGGTTCTTTTGGGTTCTGCTATACGACTGCAGTAAGCTTAAAGTGATTTAAGATGCAAAGTTCAAAGACAGAAACAAGGAACCAAAAACACTGCCTGAATTTATAGCACGTAGAGACTATATGGTGACAATAACACGGATAAAGTATAGCTAACCGTGAAGTGAGAGTGTTATCTTTGTATAGTAAAATGGAACAAGGAGCTTATTTACATTTCTTTACCATGTTCTAAGAAATGCCTCCTCCCATCTAAGAACAAGTTGCCTTCATAATTCATAGAATTTTGTTCTAGCTGTAATGAGCATTTCTCTATGAAAATCATTGGCATTGGCTTAATCTTTGTAAAAATTCAACCATATTGCTTACTGCTAATTATGTCTGCCTTTAGAAGCCCTGGGTAGATATTTCTGCTTTCCAGAATTTTCATCAGACAATTCTGAATATTAACCACCAACCCCATTTTGCTACACGTTAAAAAGAGTCAATTTCCATTTTGATACTGTAATCAATATGAAATTATCAGACCTAACTTTATGTGTAACACAGTGCTATAAGAGGGTAATATGTACTTTGACCAACATGTGATGGCAGTTCTAAAGAACTTCTGTTCTCCGATCAACTAGACACTGGAATAGGTCTTTAAATGTGCTGCACTGCAACTTGTCAGGAGACACAAAAATATCCAGGGGATTTCCCAGCTCTGGAGTGATTTGTTATTTTGCTTTACATTAAAACAGGTGCTCATTAGGACTATCGTATATAACTTCACAATTTACCTAACTAGATTTTTTAAAACATTATTTGCCTTCAAAGATTTTTTTTTTCTTTTTAGCATTAGAATGCTTGTTAGAATTCGCTGACTGGTACCTCTTTGCTACAGCAGAGGCAATGAATCATACAAACACTCTACTGCAGTTGTTATATTCAGTTCAAATATCCAGGGCAAATATAATTTATAAGGTTGTTCTTTCAGGACCTTGGGGGATGGAGTTCAGCAGCTAATTGTATTTATTTGTTAAGCATCACCAATTTTTTTGGTGATTAAGAAATAAAAATAGTAGTTTGCTTTACCTCTGAGTCGTGCTCTGACAGAAGCAGCTGACACAGCCCTAGAGTTCCACCTTCTGTCCTGGCTGGTTTCCTCCAGGAGGATCATCTCTCTCTTGTGGGGAGGCTCTCCTCTCTTTCCAGTGATGGGGACCTGCTGGTGAGGTGTCCAATCACTGCAGTCCACCAGGGATTCAATAGCTCTTTCAACAGTGGGCCGCAGGTCAGCATCTGCTCCTGGACTCACAAAACCTGAGCAGGGATCCACTAAAGGCACATCATCCTAGTGTGGGAATAAAGGGTAGTTCAGCTCTACTGGAGATGTGAATGAATTGAATTTAAGGGAAAAATTACTGTTTTTCTCTTCAAAGCTGGCAAAGCCATGTCTGTTCTCAGGACCTCTCACAACAGGCATGCATATCTTCTTTAACAGACTTTGATACTGTTGGTGATCCACCTTGTGAACTGGTTCAACTGACAAGGCGGACTTTTTAAAGGCACTTGCCTGCCTTTCAGCTCCATGGGAAACCATGGTCATTCTCTTCTATCGTCCTTATGTGGCACTAAACTTAAAAGACTCCACTTGCTCCCATTTCTCCAAGTTTCTGAAGTCCTAGCCAACAAACCGCAGTAAAACTAGAGGTCATCCTGCAGAAGATCAGTACATGGAAACCATAAAGAGCAAGGCAGTGGTTTAAGTAGTGAATTCTTTCCTGAAAAGAGATTTATCAAGTATGGTACAAAAAGAACAGAGCCATTGAATGAGCAGAGAGGTTTTTTGTTCCGTGGTAACGATGGAAACCACCTCACAATGAAATGTGTCCTGGTGTGAAACATGGTTCATGCGAACCACAGTAATCTAGTCCTTTAAGTGGATAGACACAGCAACCTGAAATGGCACTAGCAATTACTTATTCATCTAGTAGAAGCAAAATTTAAGAAGTTTTCAGTCTTACTAAGAATTATATGGTGTTTTCATTGAAGTATTTTAAAATAAGCTGTTCTGTTGGTATCTAGATCACAAATACGAATTAAATTGAAACACAGATTTAACACAAACAAAATTTATCAAACACAGCCGCAGATAAATGCAAATCCAGAAAAATTACAATTATTACTTGGAGTAAGTAAATCACATTGACACCAGAGTTTTGCATGCAGCTTAATTTCCTCCAGAGTTTTGCCATTTGTTCTAGCAGGTTGGCAAATCCCTTAATGTCTCAGGTCAGAATATGCAGCACTCATTTCCTAATCCCAAGCTCGATGGTCTTCATTTAGCAATCTAAACAAAAGCAGTCTGATTTATAGAGGTCCTCTCTGCATGAATTCAGTGCTGTCTGCAAAGGTTTGGCACTTCGGAAAAACCAAACTACATTTATTTGGACAGCTCAATTCACACTATGGGGGCCTTTATTTTGTGGCCTTGTCAGGAACAATCAGGGCACAGAGTCTGATCATTCTCTCACTTACATTAGTCTCACACAGATGTAACTTCCCCGAATTCCTAACTTGCTCTTGGTTAACACGAAATGGGCCCAACATTTATTACAGTACAGGTTTATAGTCATAAAAAGTTGTGTCCCATAATGGTGGGGTTTTTTTGGAGTAGTTTGCTGATGAAGCACAAAATAAATAAATAAATAAAGCTTCCTTCTTTATTAAGACAGCTTTCATACATAGGTCGCAAGAACTAAAATGGGTAAAAAGTGACGGCTGAGAACATTGTATATGCAGCACCGGCATTGTAAGGCTCAGGCAACCCTATGAAAACACAGAACTCTTTGTCTGACACATCTTGTGTCCACTTGCTATCATACTTGTATATTCGAGTTAGTGAAAAGATACTTCCGAAATTTGACTTCTGCCAGTAACAATACTTCAAAATGCCATACTGGTGTCTATATTTACTGACACTCAGTAATCTCCATACCAAATATAATCAGTTTTACACTAGAAATAACATCCAGTGTTGCAGACTGACCTTTTCCCCCTGCTTACCTTCTCCTGTAAAGCTTTAGAAAGAGATGGCAGGAAAGGAGGCAAAGAGATGGGACGCAGGTAAGGCACAGGATGGAAGACACTGCAAGGATCACTCATGTTTCGTTGCACTCATTTTGTAGAGTGAAATACAATTAAAGCTTTATCTTGGATTTTGTTGACAGGGATTCTGTCCAGATTATCCTGGGAAGTAAATTTGCCAAGTAAGGCTGAATTATTTCTACTGTCCATTTTCAGAAGTGATCCATGCTTTAAGGAAGCACATGGATGAGCTGGTCATATGTCTAAGCTAGTCCTCTTTATTAGACATCCGCCTTTTGTTTTCCTTCAGGATTCCCGTGGAGCAGTCTTCTTGGTTCTTTGACGTAAACCGCTGTTTTTCTTCTCTGGCACAATAACAACATACCAAATTTTCCAACAGAGTGAAATTTTCCTGCCAGACTTTATTTTCTTCCCAGCTAACTCATTTTCTGCCCCTCCATTCTTTCAAAAAATCTTTTCTCTAACCTACTACAAATTAAATACTCTTATGCCATGAAAACCTGCGAATGTCCTGGGTTTCCATACACTTTCTTAATTGCCTTTTTGAAGTAGCACTATAAAGACTGAGCAACACAGTTCTAAATGCTCATGACAGTGACTAGATCAGCACAGTTCTTTGGTTTTGCAATGGAAACTTCCTTGCTCTCTTTTTTTTTTTTTTTTTTTTTTTTTTTTTTTAGGAACAACTGCAGTGAGCATGGAGCAAGTCCACCGTACCTTTGGCCACCCCTAGGTGCAGCCTGCACCACTGCAGGCCTGGCTGTTTCAAAGGAGCTGCCCCGGGAGCGGAGGTGCGGGCGTGCTGGTGCATTACTGGATTGGGATTAATTATGTATAACCCGGCAGCTGGACGACTGACGATGGAGCTGCCGCGGCGGCA